GCATATATCCTTCGTGGGCTGCATTTGTCAAGTCAATAACTGCTCCACAGACCCAAAAACACAAATTGTTCGCTCAACAACAAGAGTCTGCTAGAAAAGATGTTGAGCGAGCATTTGGAGTTTTACAAGCTCGTTTTGCATATCTTCGACGTCCATGTCTCATTTGGGATAAGGAAGTGATGGGAAAAATAATGATGGCTTGTATCATTATGCACAATATGATAGTGGAGGATGAACGAGACACATACCAAAACTATTATGATCCCACAGAATTTCTTACGGATATACCTACAAGAGTCCAATCACAAGATGTTGAACTCAACTACTCTACACAACGCATTTCGAGTTTATCTGCTTATATGATCAATAGGGATCAACTTCGCAACAGAGAAGCTCATCGTTCTCTTCAAAATGATTTGATTGAGCACATATGGGAAAAATTCGGAACTCGTAATTAAATATGTGCTTTTCACTTCTGTTGTAATTTTATGTAACTATTTGTAACTCAGTTTATTTATTTCTAATTTTATATTTGAACTCTTATAATTTTTATTTTATTGTTAAGTTAAATATCTATTATTTAAATGAACGGTAATATTTTTACATTATAATTATATATTTTTGTTAGTTTTAAATTTAATACAAATTAATATATCTAATTTTATTTAAAAATAAAGTGAAAATAAAAAATTATAGGTTGGGTTGGTGTCATGGATAAAAGTAGAAATAGAATTGGGTTGTGGGTTGTATAAGTGGAGGAGAGAGAAATGAGTATTTTATTAAAAAAATTGGGTTGGGTTGGGTTGGGTTGGGTTATGAATAAAGATAGTCTAAGAGTCAATCTGCAATTTATATAAAATTTGAATAACTTCACTCTGGCCCTTGACTTTTTTATTGTTTAGTTAATGCATATTTAGTTTATTTATTGTGCATATGTTGGTAATACGAAATACATATTTAGATTCATACATCTACTTATTTAGTTGAGAACATAAAGACGGTAGAAGACTCCACTATAATTCTGTCAATTGCATATTTTGACTGTGCATTTAGTTCATACGAAGTGCATATTTAGTTCATGAACAATGTATACTTAGTTGATATTATTTCTGTACATTTAGTTCATAAAAAGTACATATTTAGTTAATTCCAAAGGCATATTTAGTTCGTATAAATTATATATTTCAGGTGCAAATTTACTTCATAAACAATACATATATGCTTCATAAAAAAATGAATATTTAGCATACATATATAGTCCATATCAAATGCATATTTAGCATACACATTTAGTTCACACCGGTCCATATATTTTTTTTATTATATAATTATTTTGATATAACAGTTATTTTTTATTTATTATATAGTTACTGTAATATATAATGCATAGTTAGTTAATTCATTACGCATATTTAGTTCATTATAGTGCATATTTAGTTCATATTTGGTCCAATCATAACCATTTATTTGTGAAGATCAATTTCTCATATAAATATATTGAAATTTACATTAATTATACAATAAAAATAATTATTAATATATTTAAATCAATTATATAAAATCTATATTTTATTTCATATTTTCACTGCAGATGTAGTTCATGCAAAATTCGCATTTAATTCATATTCGGTGCATATTTAGTTCATGAACAATGCATACTTATTTGATATTATCAGTGCCAATTTAGTTTTTAAAAAATGTATATTTAAAATATACCAAATGTATATTTAGTTTATATCAATTGAATATTACGAGTGCACATTTACTCAATACATAAAATGCATACTACAGTCAACGGTCAACGGCAGAAGTCAACAGTCATCGCTATAAAACAACGGTCAACGGTGAATGCTGGTGTCACCGTTCCATAGTCAACAGTCAAATAGTCAAAAGAATATTTAAATAATTAAAATAAAAAAATAAAAAGTTAGATCTTGTCAACGTATCTTATTTTCTATTTAATGGCTAAGATTAGGTCTTACGTACTAGATTTAAATAAGTAGACTCAATGAATGAAATCCCTATAAAAATATACAGATGTAATTTATTTTAAATAGTAACTACTTTAAGTAAATAGTTAAAGTTTATCTAGTTTTTCTCATGCCATATATGGATATTACTTGTAGAATAAATATGTTTTCTTTTATTTTATATATAAATAACATTTTTTTTTCTATTTTCATTTACAATATATCAAGATAATTACATATGGTTTTTAATTTAACTTTTATATTGTATGTAACGAATAAAAAAAAATAACTATTGATGCAGACCAACATAATGAACATCAAATTTCATATTTATTTTTATATATGCTATTTATGGTTTAAAATATATATTTTCGAAATTAAACATTCAACTATAGTAATACTATTGGGAATGGCTACAGTCCCGAGGAATGATTCCGTAGTTTTTATTAGTCTTTAGATACAATGTAGATTAGTATAGGTAGATAATTCACGGTTAAAACACGCTGACAGAATGATTCTGTGACAGGACTGTCTGTAGTCATTTTCAACATTATTTCATTATTTGTACGTTGTAATTGGAAACCCGAAAATTTTTTCCTTGGTAATTATAAGTTGCGGCCGACAGAAACCGTCGAAATTGAGTAATATTACCTAGCACATGTAAACTTGGTAATTCAAAACAGTTGTCTTTATTTTAATTGTTGATAAGAACGACAAGTAGAACAGAAGAGGAAACGAAAAAAGAAAAAGAAAGAAGTGATGTCTTAGTGTTGAAATGCAGCATCAACAGCTTCATCGTCATGTCCTTAGTTGGCCACCGCTGCCTTCACCACACTTGGAGGATCAACCTCTGGTGGGCCACTGACTTCCGGAGAACCGACACATTTCTTCCAACACATACAATGCCGACGTTTGCAAACGCCGACACTGTACATTTCCTTCTTGCAAATTGTTTTGCAGTTGCCAGCATGGCGCTTCAACTAACAACTACCATGGTATTTCCTACTTCTTATGTAGCATGTTCTCGCTTCACATCCCACCATGAATTCATCTGCATTCATTTATAACAATTTTAAAATTAACCAAAAGATTTATTTTGATATATTGTTTTATTCACGTACCATTCTCCTGCCAAACCGCCTCACAATGAAATGAATGTCTATATAACACATGACTTTTAGAAAATCTACGAAGCCATGAATTTATAGATTTCATACAATGTCTTGGAAGTTTGTTGATTTTAATTAGAGGTGAAATACATTTGGTTACACTGGAAATTTAGAACGTAGTGCTTGTCCTCTTTACTTTGGTGTCTTATGTAATTTACTCCCCTTTAAATTTGTTTACCATAGAAAAACCAGGAGAAAACAAGATCTTTAATTTTATCTAAACTCGTCGCCCTGAGAATGAAATCCGGGGCAGAGCCAGGCAAAGGTCGGATACGCAATTGTTGGACATAGTTTAAGGGGCACAACTTAATTTAATAAAGAAAAAATAAAAAATTTTAACATCCGCTTTGTGCACTTAATCAATCTCCAAGCCCCATTTCATTTTTTTGTCAGTTATACATTTTTTTTTTCTATGCACTCTTTACTCACCTAACTTCATTTCACTTAGTGGTAATGGTGCTTTATAGCACTTCAACAAAACAAAAAATGAAATTTAGCCACTTTTTTAAGAAAAATGATATATAGCCATTTGGGCATGGAAAAATACATAATTGCCCTTAGACATCATTTTATCATTTTTTTTCCCATTTTCATCATTTTTCCCCTTTTTTTCACTTCATTTCCTAGACCCCGTTTTATCAACTTTTTCACGGTACCCTCTCTCTCTCAAAGCTCTCTCTCCGATTTCAATTTCGAATCCCAATCTCTGATTTCAATTTCGAATTCTCGTCAGGTAGGGTTCACGGCGAATCTTCGAATTGCCCTTCAATTTCGAAGTTATCTTCTCCGATTTCATCTCATTTCGAAGCTTTTCTCCGGCGATTTGAAGGTTCGAAGCTCCGGCGATTTGAAGGTTCGAAGCTTTCTTAGATTTCGAAGCTTTTCATCTCTCTCATTTTTGTTCTTCTCTTTCTTCGATTGGGGTTGCGCATTTTTAGGGTATTATTTTCAATTTGTATTATTTGTGTGTTGCGATTTTGAGGGTATTAAAATGTATGTTTTTAGGGGCTAATATGTGCATTTTCAATTGAAAATATGCATGGTTAATTTAGTTGTGCATTTCAGATGTGTGTTGAATGTTTCACATGTACAGGCCCTGAACATACATTAATTCCCTATAAATAATTAACGAACATAATACTATATATTATTGATTATGAGAGATTAAGGCTAAAATAATACTCCAGCCCGGTTTTCTAGCAAAAAATGTGTGTTATTGGTAAAATTTGGACCCATTTTGACCCGAGCGGATAATGGGAAAAACCACTTAATCGGATCCCCTGACAATTTAGACCCATTCTTGTTTCCTTTGTAAGAGGAACCACTTGGGTTCAATAGCATTGACCCTACGTACAACTTAGAAACAAAATTGTTTTAATAATATTGTTTGAAGGACTAACCAAGTGTTCTTCTCTTTGTGTTGCTTGAGAAATGTGATTCTGATTATGATTAATATTGTTTCAACTGTATGTCAGATTGTCTGAAGGACTAACCAAGTGTTCTTCTCTTTGTGTTGCTTGAGAACAATATTTTAGATAAAGTGAATTTGATCATAATTTAAAGCATAAAAAAAGGAGAAACGGAGTTTAAGGACATGTAAGGCTAATATCTTGTTTAAGAACAATATCTTGTGAACAATATCCTGTTTTTCTCGTCTTTTGGCTTGTGGTACTGTTTTATTCTTCTTTCTTGTTTATGGTTTTGTGGTTTCTTTATCATATTGTTATAGAACGGTACAATTTTTATTACATCAATAGGACCGTAGGCTAGAGTTATGATCTGTGATATTATGCCATAGTGCATAAAAGAAACATTATTTAGTAAGATCACAATGCTTGCTTTTTTTCTTCTCTGTTAGCATATCCTATGCATTGTTACAATTTAAAATTTTGACCACCTTTACATGTTATTGTGATTATATATTGGGGTTGAAGTAATCTGACTATTTGTACATGGATACTGAGCATATCCTACATAGTTTTTCCCTGCAATATGAATTGTTATAGTGAAAGTTATTTTGCAATGGGATTGGTACTTGAGTGAATAAACTCATCAGCATCTTGCATGGTTCATGCACTGTAGTATTGTTATTGGTGTACTTTGGTGGAATATGCTATTAGTACACCTAGTTAGTATAGCTACTTTCCCTCCCCCCCTTTGCATAATATCTTTTAGTTTTTCTCTCATTTTGCTAACTTCCAAGAATGAAAAATATTGTTGACTAGTTTGTTAAGGTTTACTTTTGAATTTATATTTTCATAAATTTGTAGAAGGCATCTGAGGCTTACAGCATAACAGAATGATCCAAACTTGTAATTTTTGCACGAATTATTTTGAAAGCCAAACTTATTTGGTAGCAAATGTATATATGAATTGATAGCTGCTGTTTTTCTATTTACACTAGTGACTAACCCTTTATCGATTAAAATTATGCCAGCAGACGAATACTCATAGTTGTGGGCCATTAGCGTGCATGTACGTAGAGCGCATGCTTGGGGACGTCTTTCCGCAGAAGCCGACTAACAAAGATATTAAAAATTACAGAAAGAAAATGGATTTAGCTATTTTTGCACTTGGAAAGCTTGTGGATTGGTACTGTGGTTTGTTCATTATATATTGTATGTTGCGTGTTGTGAAACTTAAACTTGGAGGATTGCATATTGTTGATATTGGGAATTTTGAATATTGTTTAATTTGTAGGTTGAATTTCTTGATATTGTGTTCATTGAATATTGTGGGTTGCGTATTGTGATCTTTGAAAACCCTTTATGGATTGAAAACCCTCTAACAAGCTGTAGCCAAGTTCTTCTCATCTCACAAGAAAATAAATGCCAATTATGGGGGCACAGATATTTCATTTGGCTGCTGAATTTGTTACAAGCACAAAAGAGCAAATGTCTTCCTGTGTATATTTGTAGGAAAAGAGAATCAGAAGGTATAAATTTCTTTAGCCAATTTCGGTGTCCCTATTCTTCATGCTAAAATGTAGTAGTATGTGATTGAGAAGCCATTGTTCCCACTCATTGTTGTATTTCAAGATTGTGTCCCTGCTGACTATGGGCATTCCCTTAGCATCAGCTTGCTTACAATTTCCTAAATAAAAATAAAAAATAAAAAATATCTCCATATGAAATCAAAAGAAATCATCAATTTAGTAGTAAAACAAAATACAACACCATATGAAATCAAAAGAAATCACCAATTTAGTAGCAAAACAAAATACAAGGTTCTTACATAGAAGTCCTCACTACACTCCACCTAAAACACACACAAATAAAAAGCAACATCCTATAAATAACTATTTCATGAACTCTATTCATGAAAGCTTCATATGATGAGGTCCTAAGACAAAAAATTCATCTCCGTCTCACCATTTTTATACACATTCCCATCCCAAAAGTCACTGTGAACAATTCGCACTTTACCAACGTCCATCTGAAAAAAAAAAAAAAAAAAAAAAAAA